TAGAAAAACTCTCTTTAGTTAGAAATTCACAAAACCAAAACTCACTTTACTGTTTTAACACTTCTCAACCCAATTTTTAACAAAAAGTAGAAGATTAGACTACCTTCTATCAAAAGATCAATATTGTTTGCCACTTCTATATATAGTAATTCTGTGATATAAATACAACAAACATGTAGCTATATAGAAAACAATTTATTTCTTATTTGGAAATATAGCTCTGGTATATTAAGAACTCAGAAGATTTTTAAAAACTTATACACCAATTAGATGAAATGAGACTAGAAGAATATGTAGAATCGATATATTTGTTATACTTTGGAATAAAATATAGATTTAAAGTTAGAGTAATAAAAAGAATTTGAGATATGCAGTCTAATAACAAAATTATATATATATAATTTTTAGACCTTGGCACAGATCAAAGTATATTTAGCTTAGTTTTCTTTTTATATATTAGCTAAGTTCTATATAATTACTACAATCAAGTAAATAAATATTCTTGTTAGCAGATATCAATTTGTTAGATAGGTTCTTTAGTTTTATACTTAGTACTTTAGATTTCTTTTATCAGTTTAGTTATTTTCTTATTTGTTTTATTTTAAAATATTTTCCTTTTCATAATTTTCCTTATCCTATTTGCTCTTTAGGATTTTTTTGTTAGGGAATTTTTCTTCAGATTGGTAATATATTATATAGAGCAATAATCTTTACAAGATTGGTAGACATCTACTGCAAACTCTTAGATTATAAATTCTTAGAAATTAAAAATCTCAAATAAGATAAAGACGAACCACTTAGGCAGGTTGCATCTAAGTCTTTCTTGTAGAACTTTTTTTTAAAGTTCTTGTTAAATAGATCGAGTGATTCTTTATTAATATAGACATATGTAGTTTTACTAGGTAGTTTAGCTACTACAGAGATATTTTATACCAATTTAAATAATAAAGAAAAAATCATTGAAACAAAAAAAACAAAAAAATAAAGTTAAAATTAGAATCAGGTTGGAGCAAGAGACTTTAAAAACAAAGAAAAAGTAAATAAAAGCAGTATAATAAAATAGCTCTAAAGAATTTATCATTACAATTTAAAGAATCTATCAAAACTACTATAATAAACCAACATAAGTTAAGAAAGAAAACTAAAAAAAAGAAGATACAAGTCTAGCAAAAGAAAAAACAAGCTGCAAAAATAAAGTTAAAGCTAGAACTAGAATAAAGCAAGAGATTTCAAAATAAAGAAAAACTTAACAAAAGCAGTATAACAAGATAATTCTAAAAAAATTAATACAACAATTTAAAGAATTTATTGAAGTGACTACAACAAACCAGTATGAAAAAAGAAAAAAAATTAAAAAAACAAAAAGAAAGAGACTATAGATCAAAATATTGAAAGCTTTACAGAAGCAAAAAATTAAATAAAATTCAAAAAGAATCAAGACCCAAAATCTTACTAACAACCTCAAAAGATTAGATAATAGAAATAATATATTAATTGGTGATTCATTAGTTAACCAAAGAGAGATCATAGTGTAATATGACATGGTTTATATATAAAAATTAGAGTTTTGTAAATGTGGGCTGCATCATTTTAAAACTTTTTTTTGTACTAAGTTAACTATCTTTGGGCTTTTAATTGAAGTTATAGAGCTTATTAAGACAAATTTAATGATAGTTAAATCATTAAAATCAGTCTTGTAGATTATGAAATATTTTTGAAAAATATTTTACTGACTATGTAAAATTCTTTTTAAACAATAGTATTGTTAAAAGAGAATTTTATATAGTTGGTAGTACTCCACAGATTTGATCCAAGATCTGGATCCAATAGGTCGGATCAGATCCAAATCTATGATTTTACGAATCTGAATCTGCTTAAAGATCTGATCTAATACAGTCCAGTATTTTTCCAAATTTGGAAATTGATCATCCACATAGTAAAAGAATTTTCTAGAATTGATTTTCCATGTAAACAATAGTATTTAATAGTATTTTTTTTATGTTCATAAAAATTTCACATAACAAAAAATTTTAAAATAATTAGTATAGAAAACCTTGGTAAAGCATGCAGTTTAGAGATCCACAGAGATCCACAAGGCTTAAAAATACAGTTGTCTCACAATAAAATACACAAACGCTGATTAGTACAAATTTAGTCTCATCGGAGTATTTAGAATTATTTTCTTGCAGATCTGTTGCTAAAAAAGGAGCAATCTTTATATACCAAATTTGGAAACATCCTGAACTGTAATATACCCATTTAGATCTATTTGAATCATATATGCTGATTGGTTATAATAAATATACTTTAAAGGTAGAGTATATATCAATCATTTATCATATGATCATAGTGGTACAACAAGATTTTATGTATAAATTAAAATACATCACTAGTAAAAGTACTCAAAACCACAACTAAATTTTACCAAAATTTTGTAATATACAAATCAAACCTTCTATTTATAGCAGTAAAACTTTCGGGAGCTATATTATTTTTAAAAAATAGACATATATATATCGTAAAGTTCCTGGGGATTTCTCAAATTTGCTGGGTTACACAAAAAAATATAATAAAAATATTTCTAAAACAGATAATTACCCAATTAGATTTGTGTTTACTATATAATTTGTTATACAAAAAAAATTTGCTATATATATCATATGATAAATGATCTATGTATACTCTATCCTTAAAATTGTCAATTTAATTTTTTATATTGTGTTATAATTACTTTATGACGCATATAATATATTATTTTTTAAAGCTTTTTTTTACTTCATGATGCATACAATATGTTATTCTTTAAAGCTTTTTTTTTTTGCTATAAAATACTTTTGTTAAAGTTATCTAGTGAAGCCTTTTCCATCTATTTTCATAAACAAGTAATTGTAAATATCAACCTTGTCTACATTCTGTGAGGAATTTAAAGAATATAAACCAACTACTCCTCGTAACGAACCTGAGAAATATGAACAAACCCTTTTTTGTCATGAATCTGAAGATTTTGAATCAATCTCCCTTCCTTTGAATGAATCTGAAGCTAGTAAAGTATCTCTAATATGTGCTAGTAAAAGTAATATTGTACATACCAGGTAAGATTCATAGATTTGTGGATTTGAATTATGGAACTATAATACATAAAATATTTGACACATATTATATATAATTATTGAATACATATTTATAGATCTTTCGTATAGAATTATTTTAAAAAAAAAACAGACCATGTGATATGTGATCTCTGTAATAGAAAATTAGTATATCAAGATGGAACTACATCAAATCTAAAAAAGTATCTTAAGATATATAAGAACAAAGTATCTAAATTAAAAGCATCAAATATAAAGAAGGATAGTATTTCTGTTATTGAAATATTAAATAGTCATAAAAGTGTAAGTTTTAGATATATATAGCAAATTAAAAAAAAATTTTGTAATTTAAGATCTAATTGTATTCATTAGATTAACAATAATTCTTGTGAACCTTTTGATAAAAGTAAATTCATTAATCTTATTAAACAATAATTATTAAATATAATCTACTATTTCAAATAATTAAGAATTAGGAACTTAGATTGAAATTTGAATATTTAGAGCCTCATATGAAAGGTATAGTGCAATGCTGTTAATTACAATTTGATATCAAGAATAAAAATTAATTTTTTTTTTATAGCACCTTCAGCCAATTTAGTAAAAAGATATATATCATAAGATTTTGATATTGAATATGAGAAACTTCGTGAAAAATTGCAAGATATTCCTGGTAGTATAGCAGTAACAACTGATATGTGGACAACTGATAATTATGACAAGTTATTTTTGGCAGTAACTATTTACTACCTAAATGTATCATGAGAACTTAAAAGCATTTTGCTAGATTTTATTAGTATGAAAGGATCTCACACAGGTGCTGCAATTGCAGAAGCAATAAAAATATGCTTTTAATAAATGAGAATTATCAAAAAAGTAATTGCGATCATACATAACAATACTTCATCTAATAATAGGTTTTTGCAAGATTTTGCAGATTCCTTATTTCAAATAGGCATCTATTTTGATAGTACTCAATAATCGATACGATGTTTTGGCTATATTTTAAACTTTGCTGTGCAGAGTATGTTAAATGTTGTGGGAAATGAGTTAGACAAAGTTAGTATTTTTATTTTTTAAATTTTTTTAATTTATTGTTATTAGACCAGATTGAAAAAGTTTCAATTGATTTATTTATTTATTAATTTGGTCTTTTTATT